GCTGAAGGAAAGCTAGATGTTGGGGGAGGTGTTCATTTAGGACTTAAGGCTGCGTTAGACAAACTGTCACGAGATTGCAATGATGTATCAGACATCTCCATCAAATATTACGCCACCGACCTACCAGACCAACTGCCAACCACAATGGAAGGACTTGTGTCACTGATTGAGGATTTCCCTTCACAACTTAAAAGTATCAATAATAGTAAAGGGGTTCCTATGCAGGTAAGACTCCCATAAAATTCCCATAAGTTTCCCCAATATATGTGGCATTTTATTTAATGAATAAACAGGCCTTGTATGTGCTCTGTGGAAAGCCGTAGGAAGTGGCTAGAGCACGAAAGAAGCATAGGGAGAAACACGAGACAAAGTTTTATTACCGAACGTACTTAAGCTTATGACAATGTAACTGAGCGTGAAAACCTTTAAAAGCCGGACAGTCCATTTCGTTTTCTCTCCAATGATTTTTGTCCCTGTTCATGTTATACTTCGTCAATTCCGGACCTTACCATATTTACAAACTTTTTTTTGCTTCTTTTTTACTACTTTCCAACTTGCTTTTTTTAAAGTTTGACATTCTCTCTCTGTGTAATTTTTGCTGTTAACTGTGGGCTACTTTGTATCAATTGAGTCCTAGAGCTCGTTTTCTTATTCGTATTATAGGTAAAAAAAGACTCGTGGGTCAATTAAGGTAAAAAGCTAGAGAGATTTTCGGGAAATGGTCGGACATATCAACCAATTGAAGTGCGCGCTATATCAGAACATTATAATATCCTGCCATCAGTTATTATCTTTTATTTTAAGTTAAATTCAATATTTTTTCTAAATGCGGGGTCAGAGAGTCTTATAACGAGGCAATGTTTTTCGATTAATGTCTGTGTCTGAGCATTAGCGCACCTACCTCTCTTCTAATTGCTCGATAACTTTTTTTTTCTAAGGAATTACCTTAACCTTAACTTATTATCAGTTGATTGTTGTTGGATTAGGGGAGGTGTAGGTGCACTGATGCTCAGATACTGACATTGATCCATTTATTGTTTTAGTACGCTTCGTCTTGACAGTTTTCATAAATAAAAATTCTCTCAAATTTTTCTCTTAGAAAATATTTGGGGAGCATTCTATCGCATCGCAAGGGACTCTTATTAACTCGAAATGAAGCGGTGTACTCGGGAGGTCTGTACAAAGTTCTTTGCTTATTTGCAGTTTGAGCTTCTGCCAGTGAATAGCGTTATTCCAAATGCAAAAGCATGCTTAAGAAAGCACGCTATGTCCTCAGATATATAGGATCTGGAAAGGTGCTTTGATGATCTTCGAAACGCCCAAGCTCTCGTTAAGTCACACCTCAAAGACAAAGAAGATGACGACGTTGAAGAATTTTACAGCGAGATAACAGAACTTCAACGCAAATTTAAAGAAGCAATTAAAAGAATGAACAGCATGGAAGGACCAGAGAAATCAAAGAGTGTACGGAGGCATACCAAAAGGCTCGTGGAGGACGCGATATGAAGGGGAAATTTACCCGTGAATGGAAGAAAATACAACGAGAAAAGGTGAACAAGATGATAAATGATAACACTGTTAATGACAATTAGTCGGCAAAGACGATGACGACCATAACATGACGAAATGTGACAATAACGATGATAACAATGATGATGATTATAATCATGATGATGATGATGACAATGAAGATGACGATGATCATGTTGGAAATAAATTTGATCATTTTCAAAGACGACGAAGGCGGCAACGATAATTGTAGCCATAGAAGAAACTGCAGTGTGAGTGATGTTTGAAGCCCGATATTTGTCCCTTTCTTTCGTTTGCTATGAAAGTTGTTGAAAATCCAGAAAATCAGATATGCTTTTGAAGCTTTTAACGAGAGTGAGAAGGTTTCAATCTGTCATATCGAATTCATCAACGGTAAGCTTTCCATTTACGAAAGTGAAGTCTAGATGTTTGGTTTTCAATTTCCAGCTTTAATTTGCATCGCCCAAAAGAATAATACTTATCTCAAGGGCTTTTTAGTATTCTTGGCTATGTTTATGTTTACTTTTTAAAATTCTAACGGGTCTTTCAGTGGGGTAAGGTTTGCTCAACTGACCGATCACGGGTGAGATGTAATTTAGGAATATATAGGATGCTGATTTTTCTTCATGCAATTTTTTCTTAGCACGCCGGAATAATAGATTATCGAAAAGAGGCTGCAACTTATCTTAATTCATTGTGTTTTCTTTCACAGGCACCAGTTGCCACAATCAAAGTGAGAATCGTCGTCAAATCTATAGAAGCTACAATTTCTAACAAAATAGATTCAAAAGGTGGTTTCGAAAGAGCGGATTATAAAATCTGATTAGGGGGGGGGGGTAAAGGGTGACAGGAGGGAGGAGAGGTAGAAAGGAATCAGTCAGCAGCTTTTGAAGTGTTTAAAATTTCATTTAAAACCTATCTAATCCCATTTGAAATAATAATTCTTACAACTGAATTTCAGTTATTCTCCATTAGTACAAGTTGGTTGAGGACATTTGCAACACGACTATAATCATATTCTTTAAAAACTCAAATAGGGAATCCTCTGTTAAGATGCCACCTAGGGGCCCGTTTTTCGAAAGTTCCTGCAACTTAACGGGTCCGTAAAGCTGTTCTGTTCTCATTCAAGATGGGGATTTCAAAAGTTTTGAAAATGATACATTTAAAATATCAGCTAAAGAAACAAAATGGACTGGTTTTGGATGCCACGACCTGCTTTTCTCTCCTTTAAATCTGGATTGCAAAACATGGCTTCGGTCCCGTTAAATTACCGGGACTTTCGAGAAACGGTACCGTAGCGGGCCCCGGGCCCATTACGCGCCTGTCACAGATCTGGGCACAGCTGATCTCTCTTTTTCTAATGTTTTTTTTTTTTTTTTTATCGTTTAATGCTTTTAATAGCTGCCTTCAGGAGTTCCTCTAACGATTGTTCTGTTTGGAAAGACTGGGGACGGAAAAAGCGCAACTGGAAACTCGATCATTGGTAGTGAATGTTTCGAAGACGGCCCATGCGCCGGGTCTGTGACTCAATTTTGCAAAGCAGCCAAGAGAAAAGATGAAAGAGAGGTGACCGTAATAGACACCCCTGGATTCATGGATACGGTCCCAATCTTATACCGGATAAGGAACGCGAGTGGTCTTTTCAGTAAGAGACGACGGGACATTCTCCGAGAACTCGCCAAGGTTTTTGTCATGTCCCCCGACGGTCTTGATGCTATTATCATTGCGATTACGTACGGTGGCAGACTCGGAAGCGATGATGCCGAAGCTCTGATAATACTTACATCGTTTTTTGGCGCTGAAGCCCAATCTTACATCATTTTAATTCTGACACATGGCGACCAAGCTGCACGCGACGCAAAGAAAAAGAAGAGGAGCATCAAGGACCATTTGAAATGGTACATCACTTCCTTGCCAGATTGGGTCCAGAAGTTTATCACGGAAATAGGAGAAAGGAGAGTGCTGTTCGACAACAGTTTGGATCCCGACGAAAAACCTGATGATTGTAAGAAGCAAGTCTCCAAGTTACTTCAGGTACTGTAAAGCCCATTTTGAGAGCAAAATCAGTTATAGGGCAGCGGTTGTGTAGGTAACTGGCCTTTTCGTTGCTTAGTAAAAGTGTAAAGTTTTTCTTAGGAACAAGAAAAACGGAAGCAGAGAATTTACCCGTTTCCTAAGAAGAATCGAGTGTCCGCTTCCGGTTCGCCCATCAGGTTTTTTGGGAAAGGAAATGTCGAAAAAATCTGTATTTAAGCGGAGCCACATCAAATGGGCAAAATTTCTTGTAATCTTCGAAGGAAGCGGCTAAGTGTACCTTTCACAAGAGTGTGACTTTGAATAAAACATAAAATACATTTACACAACGACAGATATATTTTTAGGGTGAAAATTTGAATGTCTTTTCTTTACTTCGGATTCCTGACGGTTAACCCTTCTTGGGGCTAGCTTTTATCCTTTTTTTTCCTTTCCCCTTCATTCTCAAATTCATTTGAAACATTGTTATCCCCTCAACACCTAGGAGTACCTGGCCTCTGAAGGTCACGTGAATAAAAGAAAAGATTACCATTTTAAGAGGCTCCTAATTGTCAAACAAATTCTTCTTGTTGGCACCATATGAAGTTTAAAGAGAACAGTGTGGAGAATTTCAATACTAATATTAGGATTGTAAAGGTTTAAAAAGTATAACAAAACACTCAGCCTGAGTTTTGGACATTTCTTTCAAGAGACTTAAGTCTTAAAGCTTTATTTTCTTTTCCTTTAACTTTTGTGTTTTTTAGTCTCCAATAAATTTCACTGAACTCACGGCGTAAGACCTAGGAAGTCACAACCAAATTCTCTTAGCCTGATAGGTTGCGATATCTCCCTAAGTGTGGGAGTTTCACAAAATCGAAATTCAAATCCTGAAGCCCCGCGCTATTGAGATTTCAAATACACCTGTACATCTTAGTAGGAGTAGTGGAAGGAAACTGAATAAAAAATATATATTAAGTAGTTGATTGGCTTTTGTAATAGCAGACAATCAATAACGTGGTCAGTTCGACATGACACACGCACACTTGTTTAATTTGATGAAGTATACTTTAAAACAATTAAATGTTCGTAGTGCGTTGTCAGAGTTCTCCGTTGTTATTTTGTTATTATTCCTTAAAGAAAATGGCTGACTAAAGCAAATCTTTTTAAAGTTTATTTGAGACTGCACAACTCAGGAAACCGCTAAACGTCTTGCATCCCTTTGAATTTTTGCTATGATTTGTTCTCTTACGCGTTTATTGTTTCTTCGGAGATTATTGACGAGGTGAGAAAGCAAAGAGGGCCTTTCATACACCACCTGCACAGCGCGTCTAGAGTACTGCTTCACGAAGAAATAAAAAACGCCATGGACGAGAGTGGATTGACGAAGCAGGCAGAGGATCTTCGTCTAAAACTCGAGGAAAATAGAAGGCAACTTGAAGACAAAGACAAAAGTGATGATGAAAAACGTAAGTTCAGCGAACGCGTTGCTCAACTGGAAGAGGAACAGTTGGAAGTTGGAAGCCAGAAGGGAAAAGCTAGTGGAAGAGAAAAAAGAGGTAGTATTTCACGATGCTTTTACTCCGGGAGGTGGAATGTCAAACGCAGTGATATCCGAGGTAATAAGTGGTATTTCTGGAGTTTCTGATATGGGTGTCGTCGGTGGTGGTAGTGGTGGTTGTTACCCTGGCTCAGGGACTATCTACGATGCATGTTTTCGGAGAAGACGAATAGAATCTTTGAAAGTTGGTGACGAAGTCCTAGTAATTACAAGTAATGGCATCCAATCGGATACAGTTATCACCTTCATTCACCGTCAGCCAGAAATTGTTGAAGAATTTTTAAAAATTGTTACCACAAAAAAGAAAATCCTCCTGATAACTGCTGACCATCTCCTGTTTGTGGAAGTAATGCGCCAAGCAACAGCCATCCCGGCCAGAGATGTTAAGATCGGAGACACAGTGTATGTGAAGGGGAGCCATGGTTCAGAGAAGGATTCAGTTCGAAGCATCAGCACTGTCTACGAGAAAGGTGCCTACGCTCCAGTATCCCTCAGCGGAACTATTCTGGTCAACGATGTTCACACCTCCTGTTACTTTGATGTGTTGTCCCATGAGTGGTCCCACCGAGCCATGGGCATTGCTCGCGCCCTTCATTATGTGTCTCCATCGATGGTGCAAAGGATCAGTGCTATTGGAGAAAAAAATGGATTCCCAGGTTGGTCCAGACTAGCTCATACGATGCTGACATTGCTCAACTGAGATTAGCTAGAAATTTAACTCTTGAGATTACTAGAGACATATACTCATTCGTAAGCGTGATGTGGAAAACAAACAAGTATTAGTTATTGTATTAGTTTGAATTCAGTGGGTAAAACAAAAACGTTTTTTTTAACTTTCACTTTAAATAGATTAGCAGTACTGGGTGATTAATGCATATTAATCAATAACAAAGTTGAACTTTACCTAGGTGTGTAAAGCTTAAAAGCAACAAACCAAACAAGTAATTTTTTAGAGTAGCTAACATGCAAACGAAGCTCTGTTAGCCTATAGCTTTAAAAGATACATGAACAGAATTTTTTGAGTGTGGTTCTGTACTTGTGAGACTTTACATGATGATAAACTGTTCGTTAGTTGACCAACAGTCATTGAGGGACTAGGTCACCCGTAAACAAGCTTTCAGACAAGGAGAGGGGAAGTAAAGGTAGAAATGCATTGAGTGCTTCCCAAACAATCTAAAGAAATGCTTAGTAAACTCAAAGCGGAGTAAAGCTGATGGCGGGAAAACTGACATTAACCGTAAAAGACGAATAGACGAACTAAAACGGACTCATGATGTTTCGATAGACAATTTTTTTCAAAACGTTAACTTAGGGCTTGAGTTTTAAAAACGCTACGAACGTAGGGATAATTAGAACCTCCAACCGAAGGAGAGATTGGAGACTTAGAGTGCTTGCCGGTTTCCTAGATAGCGGTATTCTCTTGATAGAAACGAAGTATTAAATAAATAGATTATAACAACGTTTTTCTTCGGCTAAGGACCGAAGATTGCTTCCCTTAAAGACAGATGTGCTAAAGAAGAGTTTTCGAGATAAATTCATAATTTTTTTAACTGTTTTATTCTTTCAGTGACACGCCTCGTTAATCAATTCCAGTTTGCCTTAGATATTGTTAGGGTAAATAATAAAGTGTGTTGTAAGTATTGTCGTATTCTGTTCTATTTTTGTATTAACCGGGGCAGTACCAATTTTTACTCAAGGCCATGACAAATATTTCAATCAATGGTCAGAGCATTGCTTTGTTTATTTACTTCCTTTAATTCTTACCATAGCCATCTTATCTCATTCCTTTCCTTTCCCAAACTGAACCCGCGATATGTTGGATAGACATCAGACATATTTCATTGCCAAATTTGTTCTCTCTCTCACTCCTTCATGGTTGCTTACAACATTTGCATTTTTTAGGAATCCATCAGCAGTAAAAAGCCAGACAGCTAAATTCTTGAACTTAGCGAACAGACTGAAGTGAAACAATGCTACATACCAGCCACGAACCATTTACAATTTTCACAAGGAGTCTTCCTTTGACAATTTTTTTTTGTTAGAAAAGCTTTATTACTGCTTCAGAGGACTGACTCGTTGTTGATAATAATTGCATTTTTGGATTGACTGTGATCGAGATGCCAAAAAAAATTGGCCTTCCTTGAGGGACTTATAGATTTTTGGATCCAGATCTGAAACATCATTTTCGATCTAAACATACCTTTCTTTGATAGTATCACCAAGTTTTTACGACCTCTCTCTATGTACTGCGTTTATCGTGGGTGCAGTTTATCTTGTTGGGTATTCTCAAAAGACACCCAATAATTAGATTCATTGAGTTTCAGTTGCACAAAAAACTAGAGCCACTGGCACCCGAGAGTCACAACTGCTGATCTAAAAATAATGATCTGGCCGAAATCAGGTCATCAAAAAAATCAGAAATCAGATCTGGTCATCTCCTGCTCTTCTCGAAGGCGGCAAAGCTGTGTTTATCGGGTCCATGGCTGAAGACTGGGCAAATGTGTTCTCTCTTGAAGGTGAAACTGGCGAAATCATTTGGAAGTACAAAACAGCTGAACCCGCTTTCTCATCCCCTTCCGTAAGTCATGGCAACAATGTTGTATTTTTCTGTTCGTACGATGCAAACTGTTACGTGTTTAACACTGAGAATGGTCACGTGCTCTGGGTGTTTGAGGCCGACTCGGCATTTCAATCGTCACCTGTTGTCAGGAAACTGGACGAGACTCTCCTTGTTGGATCCACGGAGGGGAATATTTATGCTGTGGATTCCGCTAATGAAAAACTCAAATGAATTAGAGAGGGTTTGTTTTCAATATTTTCTATCTCTCCTATAGGAACTCTGCGAAACAGTGCATTTTGAATTATCCGTGTGTTATGCCCTCTTCCTAGTTCATCTCTTGAAGGTCTACGCTAAGATTATGTTTTAAATGAAGTTCATCTGCATGAGATGCATTATTTTTTCCAGATTTTAAGCCGGTACAATGCTTGCGTTGTCATGGCAGTTTTACTTTTTAGAGTTTGACATCCGGCAAATTCTAGTGACAGACGTGACAAAGGCTTCATGGCAATGTCGGGTTAAATTCTGGTTTGCACTCTGTTGCTGTCTTGGAATATTGTTGGTTGATTATTCAGGATAGAAAAGAGGACATCTGTGCCACCATACATTAAGGAGATTGGCAACATAGTTTAGGTGCATTTTATTTAACGATATATATATTTGTTTATTTATTGAATCAGGAAGAGGGTGAGCTATTGTCGTCACCATTTTTCTCTCCTAATAGAAATGTCTACATTGGCTCGGGTGAAGGTGAGATTTTAGCTCTCCGTCAAACTGATGGCTCACTCGTGTGGAGTTTTAAGACGGATCTGCTATTTGGTCGTCACCGCGCCTGGATAAGAACGGACTGTTGTTCATAGGAGGTATAGACACTTATTTGTATGCTCTGAGAGCTGATGACGGACAGTTGGTGTGGAAATACAAGTCAGATGGACCTATTGTGGATACTCCGCTGATCACACGTGAGCATGCTGTACAACAAGCCTAAAGTTTTCAACCCGTAAAACGCAACATGTCTTCATGGCTTATCAAACTGATGACAAATTGAAGGAGAGGATTCCACTGTGTGAATAATGACTAATGCAGTGTGTAATAAATTTTAATTAACTTTTACTGAAACTTAAGCGCATAGTGTAACCTACAATGACAAGGAATTTAAAACGCAGAATTTCTTTTAAAAATTCGAAAACAGGTAACGTCAGTGAATCCTTAAAAGTGGAGAACGTAAATTTATTGTACTTTAAATGCTCCAGCAGCTCATATTTCACTCTTCATATATCAGAGCAGCCGTTGTGACTCTGGGGTACCTGTGGCTCTAGTTTCTGTGTAACTGAAACCAAATGAATCTAGTCAATGGGTTTCTTTTGAGACTACTCAGTGACAGAATTTGCACTGATAAAAAACACAGTGCATAGAAATAGGTTGTAAAAACTTTCTGATACTATCAAAGGGAGGTACATCTAGATAGGATATGATAAACCTAAACGATACATGGAAATATAAAATGACATCCAATCGCTAACTGTGTCTCTGAAGTAACATCAGACTTCTTTTTTAAGGGAATAAGACAGGTACAATCCCCACCACCCATCCCCTCTCCCTCAGTTGACTGCAGTGGGGCCCACGGTAAATGGGAGGTCAATGCTGTTCCTCTCACAACTATTACGATCCTTGATCTTTTTGGCTCGGAGCAAGAGCAATTCCACCGGATTTCTGTCAAACTCTACTGACTTATTAGTAACCGATACGCAAGGATGTGATTGTTTTGATAGTCATGATCAACTCAACCGTGAGCAATTTCTTTAAAAGGGCATCCCTCTGCATTCCAAGCCTCCTTGCAGGCTCTTGTTTTTGTTTCTTCCAGATTACGGAAGTTTCAGATTTCGATCCAAAGTATTTCAAAAAAGAATCATTCAATTTAGTGATTAACGTCGCATCCATGCTTCTGAAAAGTAGCACACACGTAACACAGATGCCACTCTCAGATTCTGCCTCACTAAAATCGAGGTGTTGTGCAATAGAAATATGTTACTAGATTGGAAGCGGTTAGTTCAGTCGTAAAGTCGCTCAATTTAGAAATGTTTCACAACCTCTGGGTGTACGGAAAAGTTTGTTATTTAGCACTGGGAGGGGAGGGGGTGAAGCTATGGGATTTTGTTTTTGATGAAAGTTACCTGATCCCCCATAAGGCTCTGTGATATTCTTACGATCCCCGTTCATGGGCACTTAATTGGCAGCCAGTAGCCCCCATTTTTTCATTCTTTTGGCAACGACTGTTTCCCCTCCGTTTCCTCTCCGTTTCCCTTGAAAACCGTGTGATCCCTCCTAAAAGATCCTTCACGCCCAGGCGATTTTTAAGACTGGTCCCAAAACCACAGGTTTCTCATGGTATTCCAAATTTTCTGTCGTCTTGATCGCAGCCAATCGAAAAACGTAACTATTATAAATAACGAGTCTCCTGAAGCAGTAAGATAGCTTTTTAATCAGAAAGCTTTGTTGAAGAAAGTTTTCTTGTGAAAATTGAAAATAGTCGTGTCTGGTGTGAAGCGGAGTTTTATCTCGGCCCGTTCGTGAAAAGATCAAGATGTTGGCAGTGTGGCTCTCTATCGCATATGTGTTTCCTGTAACTTCACGTTCTCGTGTAACAATTATTTGAGGAAAATCAAACTGAGTGATGATACCTTAACAAAGAAATTAACGCAAATACCGTAGGCAAAAATGAATGAGTGAGAGAGAAGGAAACATTTTGTAATGAAATATATTTGATTAAGACCTGTCACTTAGGTCTGTCAAACATGTTGCGAGTACACTCTGAGAAAGGAGGAGAATGGGCAAAGGTAGTCCAGGCAAAACTTGCAGAACGTAAATCGACAAATTGGCAGTCTGACTATTAAATGAAATATTTATTATGGCGTTGTTCAACAATCGGCAGGCCAGTAGAAGCTAAAGAAGACCAAAATACTGAATTACTCACATCACGCTTCATTGTTGGCTCTAAAAATATCTTAGGCAACCTTAACTAACCATAAAAAAAAAATTCATGAAGAACGCGTAGTCACTGAAAGCAAGAAACATGCAGCAAATGTATGTCTTTAGCGCGAAAGCCCTTCTTCGGCATATTGATCCTTTATGTAAAGCAATCTTCGGCCCTCAAATGAAGAAAAACATTGGTATAATCTATATATTTGATACTTCGATTCGTATTCCATCAAGAGAATAACTATAATTAAGAAACAGGTAGGCTTTCTAAGTTTTAGATCTCTCCTTCAATTGAAGGTCCTAATTAATCCTTCGTACGTAACCTTCTAAAAACTACAACGCTAAGCTTACGATTTAAAAAAGGGGTCTATCGAGATGCCATATGACTCCTTTTTAGTTCATCTGTTAATGTTCTTTTTATTTAATGGCTATGGGCATGAAAATCCCCTCGGTTTAATTCATTGCACCAGATGCACTATTAATTAAAGTCATCAGTTAAGGTCGGTTTTTCTGCAGTAAGGAAAAAGGTCCTCAATTGAAACTCACAGAGCCGCATTCACGACACAAGGGTAACATATAATAAATGTTCCATTGGCATGTTAGACATTTAAAACATTGTTTAGGATTTGTTTTTTCGCTTTTAAGCTTTAAAAAATCTACGTAAAGTTCAACTTTGTTCCTAGCATTGTTCCCGTGTATCATCCCAGTACTGCTAATACAATTAATGTGCATGAGTATTAAGACATGGAAGACTGTTATGTTGTCCTTCAAGTTCAATCTAACGCAATTACGAAGACTTGATTTGCTTTCCATATCACTCTTGCAAAGAGTATATATATATATAATGAAAAGCGTCCCTAGAAATGTCAATCGAGCAATGTCAACATAGTATGAGCCAGTCTGCACCAACCTGGGAATCCATCTTTTTCTCCAATTGCACTGATCCTTCGCACCAGCGATGGAGAAACATAATGTACCGTGCGAGCAATGCCCATGGCTCGGTGGGACCACTCATGGGACAACACATCAAAGTAACAGGAGGTGTGAACATCGTTGACCAGAATAGTGCCGCTCAGGGTTACTGGGGCGTAAGCGCCTTTCTCGTAGACAGTGCTGATGCTCCGAACTGAATCCTTCTCTGAACCATGGCTCCCCCTCACGTACACTGTGTCTCTGATCTTAACATTTCTGGCCGGAATGGCTGTTGCTTGACCCATTACTTCCACAAACAACAGATGGTCAGCAGTTATGAGGAGGATTTTTTCTTTTACGGTAACAATTTTTAAAAATTCTTCCACAACTTGTGGCTGACGGTGGATGAAGGTAATAACTGGTTCCAGTTGGATTCCCTTGTTCGTGAGGATTTCAACTTCATCACCAATTTGCAAGGATTCTATTCGTCTTAGCCGACCTTTCACACCAATTATTGTTGCGGAACCAGGGTAACAGCCACCACTCTTTTTCTTAACATTCTCTGTTGCCTTTCCACCTTCTCCTTTTTGAGCTTCTTTTTTTTGATCATCTTTCAACTTTTCCTCCAATTTCTTTTTTTCATTCTCCAATTTTTTCCTTTCACCTTCCAATCTTTTCCTTTCATCCTCCATTTTTTTCTTTTTTTCCTCCATTTTTTTCTTTTCTTCCTCCGTTTCGTTATTTTTCTTTAACTCTGAAGACTTCGTATGGGCTTCAATTCTTTCCTTCTCGACTTGTTCCTCTTTCTTTCGCAAATCTCTCTCCAAACTAGCTAAACCACTCTCTTCCATAGCTGTCTTGATTTCATTCTCTAGAGTTTGTTTGGACGCCCAGGTCAGTTTGTGCATGAAGGGTCCTTTTCCTCTCCTCATCTCGTCAATGACCTATATCCAAGAAAAATTCAGATTTAATTTTACAATAAAAAAATAAAAACCGTGATACACTCTTGTCATTTTGATTTTTTATCAATGTGCCAAGTAGAATCATGAAAAGGAGAAACCGATTTCTGACTGTGCAGTAGTGCACATTTTTGTTTTGTAACATGTAAACCGAAGTGCGTTGTTGGGAGAATACGAGAGAGAGAGTTTAAAATTATGATGTTGTCTCGGTTGATAACAGTTCCTTGGGGTTTTTGTTCCCTCGCAAAGAGATTTTCAAGGAATCTTCTTCCTAATCAGTCACTTAAAGGGGTTATTTAGGTTAAGCTACCGCAGTTAACTGCTTTCCGTTTGACCTTTTGTTCGATTCGGCTCACGTTGTTAATAACTTCCTTTGGTACGTTACAGTGGTGAAAGGCACATGCAGGGGCGGATCTAAGGGAAGAATGCAGGGGGTGCGCACCCTCCTCCCCTCTGGGATGACCCGCAGTTTTCTAATGTAACTATTAGGTTGCGCAAAATCTGCTTCACAGTTTGCCATGTATTATTAGTTTACACCAACTTTTTTCCTGGTAATAAGCCTTCTTCCTCTTTGAATGATGTTAAAACTTGTTTGCGCCATTCCTTATTGGTGCACCCTATCCTATGAAAAACTCTGGATCTACCCCCGACAGGGGATAAACAATTCTATTCTACCACTGCCCTTAATCAAACCATTTTTCCAAGCTCATGATTTTTCTCATTATCAGAAGGTATTTCCATAAGAGTTTCGGCCAAGTCCCTTAATGTCGCTGATTACTAGGGGACTTTTGTTCCCAGGTTTGACAGGAGAATAGGAGCTGGTGTGATGTATAACTACTTGATATCAGTTGTACTTGGACTATTGTGCTCTTTTTGATACTAAACGATCAATGTAATTCAGGAGAAACTGCTAGACCTGTTTCAAACTCCAAACCTCCCAAATGAAGTAATATTTTGGAGTACAATTGAATCTAAGAGTTTGTATCATGGAGATGATCTCTAACTTAAATTTTACCTCATCAAACTGGTTCAGGCACCGAAAGATGAGAGATAAGGCGTTTGAATCGGGCATTTTAAACTTTTTCTACAGCTCTTTCAGCAAGCCCCTATCATTTACAGCTACCGTTTGTGCATGGCCACGACCTCATTACTACACTAGGGCCTATTATTTATCAAAAACTAATTAAACGATCAGGCCCGGGCCCGAAGGTTTTGACCACTAGTGAGCGCTCTACGATAAAATATGTCCTCACGATGAGTTATCAAAGCGGGGCAGTGATTCATCGATTTACTAACACGATTAATCACTGCCCCAGCCACAGGCTTACCAGATTTAAGAATGTTCCTTAGTTACTATAAATCTGTTTTTACCTGAACTAATTCATAGAGCTTCCCCTTGTAGTGACCCGGGTCTTTTTCCTTGAAACGTAGTAAGTCGTTGTTGACTAACACTATCCTCTGGCCTATTTCGTCTAAAAATCCCTGAACCCAGCTCGGCAAGCCTTGGACGTACGTGTTCAGATGTGTTTCGACGCTGATTTGATCTATGTTAGCATTTCGCTCGGCCTGATCGCCATGTGTGAGGATTAGTATCATATAAGCATGAGCTTCTTTTCCAAAAAATGTTTGAAGTATTTTCAAAGCTTCGGCATCTTCCTTTAAAAATTTATCTCCGTACCGAGTGACGAGTAGAATGGCATCAAGACCGTCAGGAGACATGGCAAAAACCCTGGAGATTTCTCGAAGAATTTCTTCTTGTCTTTTATTGTACAGACCACTAAATTCTTTCAATTTCTCGAAAGCGGAGACTGGGACTGAATCCAGAACTCCAGGGGTGTCTATCACAGTCAAATGTCTCTCTTCCTTCCTTTCCTTGAGAGCACAAATTTTCGTTTGGGAAGAACTTTGGTAGCTTTCCTTAAAACTCCCCACTTCACCGACAATGAAGTTTCCAGTAGCACTTTTTCCATTTCCAGTCTTTCCGATAAGAACAACTGTGAGAGGATCCCCTGACGGCAGCTTATAAAAACAATTCATAGTTAGAAATAAGATATAAAAATATGGAGTAGTAAGAAAATTATTTCCGCAGGCGATCGAGCTGCAGGAAGGGGGCCGGAGAAAAGTCACGAGAACGCATGCCCTGGAGATAATAGTTACGCGCCACTAACAACTAAGCTTCGAAGCCACTAGAACGTTGGGTGCGCGGCCAATTTTTTAGTGGTTTCTTTTTTCCGCAACGAAACTTGACCACTCTACTGAATCGTTTGATTTGTGAATGATCCTCGCTGCTCACTTGTGTGGATTGTTTCTCTACTTGTATACGCAGCGTATAAGTTTGAAAAGCTCGACTATAGTTTTTGAAAAAAAATGTGTTCTTCTAGTCACGGTTGTGCGACAAAAAAAGAGGGTGCACTCTAACTTTCTCGCACTGATGCTCTACTCCTAATCATGAGAACTAAACGGTGAGCTAAGCCATCCCTAGGTACATTCCTCGTGCAAATGCCCTCCAGACTACTACTATTAGCATTATTATATACTTCTAATTTCACTCAACAAAACTGGCACTGTGATTGGTAGATTCTTGGTCACGTGCCCCTGATCAAGCTCAAATATATCCCGACCGGGATACAATTATAATTATCTTGTTTCTTCGACCACAGAAACATATTTTAACAAACATCAATTCAACATTTGTTATCTATTAGTCCTAAGCTCGTAACAAAATGAATAGCTCCTTTCTTTGTTGACGACCGATTTGAAACAATAGGCCTTTTGCAGAAGTTGATCATTTGAGCGATCACCATAAAGCGACGCCATGCTGACTGGCAAGCTGTTTTCCGTGTTGCATGACAACCAGCTATTATCTTTGCATCGGTGTGTTTTTCAATAGCGTTTAAAGCGATCTTAAGGTCAATTCTAATCCTTTTCTTTCAGAGCCGCAATCTCTCATTGCCAGTGTTTAGTATACTATGACTTTTGTAAGAGTTTTGACGAATGCAAGAGAGTTTCAAAGAGGTTTTGACTTCGCGATGTAAGCGCCAACAAGACAAACATGGCGGACTCAACAACGAGTAGGTTTTGCAAGTTTTTCCGCAATCTCTCAACTTTTTTTAAATGTTTTACAAAGAATAGTAAAAACTTATAAATTATATATAGATTATTCATTTGTAAAGAAAAGGAATAAGATTGACCTTAGAATCACTTTAAACACTATTGAAAGACCCGCTTCGATGCAAAGATAACGGCTGGTTGTCATGCAATACGGAGAATAGCTTGCCAGTCAGCATAGCGTTGCTATGGGGAGATAGGTCACGTGATCAACTCCTACAAAAGGCCTATTTATCATCTCTCAATAACCCTTTTCGACATGAGTTCCTTCGAGAGGCAAAGTAAGGAAAAAAATCTACATCATGAATCAGATCACAGACCAATCGTCAATCGCCTAAAAGCTTAAGGCTTTTATTGTATTTAATATCTGTTATTATTAAAAACTAGATCATTGGATAATGAAACTCAGGACTTTTTATTGGCTTAACCATTATGGTATATCAGCCAATATACCATAATCTACAAATATGGCAAGCGTACGCGTCAGCTTAAAATTAAAAGGGAGCTCAAAATTTAATCAAATTTAATAAAATTTCATAATTTGATTTAACGTTTTTAATAAAACAATTATTTCACTCGCGCTTGTTGGATATGAGATGATTATAGCCAACTCGGCACTACGCCCCTCGTTGGCTATCTATCATCTCATATCCAACGCGCACTCGTGAAATAATTGTTAATTATATGACTGTGTCTCACAAGGACTGGGAACTACCGAATTCACGAATTTGATTGACAGAAATCCGTATTGAAAGCAGTCCACATTTTCCAATCTAGACCGGCATCTATAAACCGGTCTAGAAAAAAAAGTTACAAAGAATGTAATGTTCCGTTGCTTTCTAGACACAGTCATATAATAAACATCTTATTAACCGAGCTAGGTCGGTCTGTATGGGAGAATCTTGACCTCGGTCGCTGGTACAGACCTCACTGCGTTCGGTCTGTACTGGTGACCTCGGTCAACATTCTCCCATACAGACCTACCGCTCGGTTAATAAGAACTAAATATTAAATTTTCAAGAAGTACTTTGATAGATGCAAAATGCTGTTTTAGAGAAACAAATCTAGCCTCTTTTAACTATATTCATCAGGAAGGCCTTCTTTCAACAAAGTAAGGAATTTTCAGCCCTTCTCCTTGGACCCATATGCTTTCTGGAGTACTTTTCAGTGATCTCTGAAGAGCATGAAAATTATATTTCCGGTAACTACTGCTGTAGAATCAGAAATATTGTGTGCTGTTTGCGTTGCCATGTATGTTAGAGGATATGCCGGTCGAGAGTATCTACAATAAACATGATCCGGAAGGGCGTTGTTTAGGAAGAATGTTAAAACTAAAACCATCCAACGTAAGTGTTGGGCTTCTCAAAACGGCAATGCACGATCCTCGCAGCATCATATGCATCTAATACCGCAGTTCAAAATATATGAACTTCATATATTCATTGTATCTCATTTATCACTTTCACGGGTTTATTACGAATCAACTTAACGGCCCGCTCCCAGTTGGCTTGTTAGCTCAATTGGTAGAGCGCTGCACTAGTATCCCACAGGTCAGTGGTTCGAGTCCCGTACAGGCCTGATTTTTTGTCAGGTCTGATTTTCGCTATTGCATAAATAGCGCTATCTACTGCGAGGATCGTACATCATACGTAAAGTTCACAATGTCTTCATCACAAATTTTTTTATATTGTGGGGCTTCCTTCGCCCAAAATAAACCATGAATATGTAGGCTTCCTCTTTGTTGAAATTCAACTCTGTAAAAATAATCAGCGATTTCTCCTATTGGCATTACATCGCTCTTTAAAACATCGCAAATAAATAATTATACCATGTGGTCAAAGTTCCTTGCACAAGTGACAGGATCTTTTTGAATGAATGACACCTTTATTTAAAATAAATAGAAATCTTAACATCAGGGCAGTCCCATCAGAACGTAAAGCTCTGCTATCAATAGGAGCCCTGGTAAATAGGATCCAAAAATAAATATAATACAATAAAAAATCTATACAATATAATGTTACAGAAAATTCTAATATACGTGACTATTATCAATAACACATCCATGACAAAAGAAAAAAAAGATTTCTTGGCTGTTTCAGTTCTAACGCGAGGCAGATAAAGCAAATTTCCCTGTCTTATTCTGGTATTATTAAAATTAAAGTATTGCTTAAAAAATTGAGGACGGTTACCAGAAACACATTTGTTAACCATTTTAAAAGTATGTTCGTCTCTTCTCGATTGTAATACAGGCCATTTAAGATCCATTAAAGCTTGACCACTATCCTTAGATTTTGACACAGTTTGGGATGACCTTCTTTGAAAATTATCCAGCAGTCTGGCATTGCTCACTCCGCAACAATTCCATACACTGTCACCATAGTCAAATATTGGACGAATACATGATAGATACAAAGTGTTAGCAGCATGACAAGTTAAATCTCTTCGCAATCGAGATAGCTTACCTAGCCTTTTGCCAGCTTTAGATATAAGGTGCTGAATGTGGGGAGCCCAAGAGATAGCCTCATCAAATATACCAAGATAAGTGAACTTGTTCACCCGTGTTAGACTTTCCGTGAAAATTAATATCAAAGTCGTTATGTTTAGACAGCTTAGAATGAGTTCCAAACAGCATAGCTTCGGATTTGGTGGTATTAAAAAGCTATTCACTTGAAGCCATTCACCGAATGAATTTAGGTCTTCATTCAGATTATCTTCGATGACTTTTAGAGTTAAATCCGGCACAAAACAGAACAGTATCATCAGTGTACATGAGCACATGGCAAGACTTAATGCAGAGGAGCAAGTCGTTAATATAAATAACAAAGAGTAAGGGGCCCAAAATAGAGCCTTGCGGACCACCAGATGTTATGTGTTAAGGCTGTATTTACGAATGTACTGTTGTAATAATTTGCGATTGAGCTCTTTTCAGTTATTACATGACCGTCGACTTTGAGTTTTGGAGATGGTTCTTTGCTTTCGGAGGGAAGGATTTTCTTAACTGTTTGCCAAAATGAGTTGGGATCGCCAGTATTCTCGTCGATAAGCCTTCGATTGTGTTTATCCTTTTCCTTTCTGATTAAATTGGTAACTCGATTTCTTTGAAAGCGGTATCTTTTCCAATCGAGGGAAGTTCAGTAGTGTGAGCTTTTTTCGGTAAATAATCTCTATGTCTCATTTGACGTTTGGTAGAAACATCGAGCCAAGGACAATTGTTTAAACCCCTAACGCGTTTAACAATAGTGGGGGCGTGAAGTTCTGCTATGTTGGTAAACTTTTCTTTGAAGGACTACCAAAGCTCATAAACGTCCTTATTGTTACCGTGATCATTTGGAAGAACAAAATCTGTGTTTTTCAAATCCTCGAGGAACTTATCTGGTTCGTAATTTGCATAATTTCGAAATGTTTTGAGTTGCGGGGGAGCTTTTTTCCAATTGATCATTCCCACACAAAAAGTCATTTCATGATCGCTTAAGCCAGTACCAGTGACGATCCCAGAGACTTTCATGTTTTGCGGATGGTTTGTAGCGATCAGATCAATCATGGTTCTAGATTCCGCGTTGACTCTTGTGGGCTCCTTAATGATTTGAGTAAACTGCAGTGATTTAAATAAAGATTTAAGATGTTTACATTCTGGGATAGTAGTGCGTTTTGATACGAATAAGATCTGATTTTTGTTCCCAAGTCATTTGTTTAGTTTCATCATCAGTGTACTCTTTTTTCTCAACAATTCTACCTAGAGTTTTGAGAAGATGAGACCATCGTTTTTCAGCAGCTGAAAAAGAGCAAAAGCATGTTGGGTTTCCTAGTTGACGAATCATAGCAAACAAGTCTTTTTTACATTTTTCATAATAAGGTGGTGACCCTCTGAGATTTTTTAAAACTCTGAAACCTTCATCAAGATTTACAAGCTT